AGATAATAAAAGAACCTCCTCTCCCTCCTATAAATTGGAGCGAGACAGATGCTGGATTAGGAGATGTAAAACTCAGAGGCAAACTCCCAAGAAGCAGATAGTCCCACTGGAATATTTGCGTTTCTTGATGTTGTAGAGTAATAAAAATATGTGTATAACAGACAAATTTAGGGACTGAATGAGACTCTTTATGGATATCATTAATACACAGGTCTGTACCACTAGCCTGCTGTTTTTCTTGAGCTAAGGTGCAAAGCTGTGTGAAGTTAAGAAGTTGTGTGGGCAATATTGCTTCACTTCATTATTTATGCAAATGCTTAAAGCACCTGTAAAATGGTTTGGTTATACAGCCTTTGCAATCACCCACACATGGCACCAGTTTTTTTTTTTTTTCCCCATGGTAAGCTAGTACTATCAGGAGCCAAAGAAGGCCAGTTACACTGACCAATCAATAAATTACACGTCCTGAGAAATGAAATTAGGTTTAAAAAGAGACATATCAGGACGTATGGTTTTTGTTTTTTGTTTGTTTGTTTTTTGCCAATTCTTTTAAATATTCCTATTGAGACCATTGATATTAAAGTTATATTTACAGGTAGTACAAATTGCTCCAGAAGGACAATACATTCCTTTGCCATCTTTCAGATCATTTCTATCTCTGTTTCTTGCAATCACAGCTACTTATGTAAGAGTACTTTGCTTAATTATGCATAGAGAATCATTCCCATTAGTTTAGTCCAAAGAGTTAGGAAGCTGTATTTCTTTGAGTAACTGTATGTAAGTCACAGTTTTATGATGCTTACTTTGCTGCCTCTGTGCTTTTCATCAGAATCTCCTTCCCTAAGTTAAGTTTCAGGAGTCCTTACCACAGAGTGTGAATGCTTAAACAGCTAAGAATGAGATTCACAGAAGGTACAAAAGTTGAGTAGGCAGTGGTCTGCACAAAGTCCTGGAAAATGTAAAGAAGAAAGCTGTGATTTTAGAGAAAGTTAGGGGCAGTTGGAAATGAATTTATATCTGTGTCTTCTTTTATGGAACTTAGTGCTCAGAGTGTCCAAAGCTAAAGAAAAAAATCAGACGTAGTAGCAGCCAGGAATTAGAGGGCTCACTGTGTTATGGAAAAATCACTGTGTTATTATTATTCATGGGGCAGTGTTCTTTAAATCTTGCAGACAGACGTGTACAGGCTTTACCTGTGCTCACCAAATGTTGAACTATATTAACTATTTGAAAATCAAAACTACTAACTTTCTGAGGCAGGATACATGCAGTTTAAAATATGCTTTGGAAATAGTCAAGCAAATGGTGAAAAGTTGCAGCTGATTCTTAGAGTGGTGCAGCGAGAGCTGTTTGGCATGTTTTCTCAGGGTTACGCAGGGAAAGAGAAGCGATACGCAGGCATACCGTGCAGTTTTGTATTTCTCCACTTGGTGGCAATCATTCCCTGTCTTTCCTTGCCGCTTCTGCCCTTTGAGAAAGCGGCTGCTCTGCATTGTTCTGTAGCCTCTCTCACTTTGGAGAGACAAACAAGGCAAAAGTCAAAATATCAAAGGTTGAAAAATAGAAGAGTTCGTTAAGTGGAAATGGAAGTTTTTCATAGTTCAGTTGTCAGAGAAATTGCGTTCTTTGTTAGGAAACGTTTTACCAGCTCTTTCCCTCTGTAGGTCAAGGATCAGTAGTGATATATGAAGTACTGAACGTGAACAGTTTTGCTGAACCTTATAGCCCTTCACAGGATGAAGCAAATAATAATAACAATGAAAAATATCCTTCACAAATTCACAAATCATCATGAGAGTATCTCTACTTCTGCTTTTGTGTGTGTGTTCCAGCTACAGAAGTACATGCAGTCTGGACTCCTTGATCTGAAGAAAACATACTGGGCAGAATTGTTGCTCTGACTAGCCAAAAATGTGTCTGCAGAAGCTATATAGTTGGACATAGCAC